TGAACTAGAACTGAACTAGAACTGAACTAGAACTGAACTAGAACTGAACTAGAACTGAACTAGAACTGAACTAGAACTGAACTAGAACTGAACTAGAACTGAACTAGAACTGAACTAGAACTGAACTAGAACTGAACTAGAACTGAACTAGAACTGAACTAGAACTGAACTAGAACTGAACTAGAACTGAACTAGAACTGAACTAGAACTGAACTAGAACTGAACTAGAACTGAACTAGAACTGAACTAGAACTGAACTAGAACTGAACTAGAACTGAACTAGAACTGAACTAGAACTGAACTAGAACTGAACTAGAACTAGAACTGAACTAGAACTGAACTAGAACTGAACTAGAACTGAACTAGAACTGAACTAGAACTGAACTAGAACTGAACTAGAACTGAACTAGAACTGAACTAGAACTGAACTAGAACTGAACTAGAACTGAACTAGAACTGAACTAGAACTGAACTAGAACTGAACTAGAACTGAACTAGAACTGAACTAGAACTGAACTAGAACTGAACTAGAACTGAACTAGAACTGAACTAGAACTGAACTAGAACTGAACTAGAACTGAACTAGAACTGAACTAGAACTGAACTAGAACTGAACTAGAACTGAACTAGAACTGAAACTAGAACTGGAACTAGAACTGAACTAGAACTGAACTAGAACTGAACTAGAACTGAACTAGAACTGAACTAACTGAACTAGAACTGAACTAGAACTGAACTAGAACTGAACTAGAACTGAACTAGAACTGAACTAGAACTGAACTAGAACTGAACTAGAACTGAACTAGAACTGAACTAGAACTGAACTAGAACTGAACTAGAACTGAACTAGAACTGAACTAGAACTGAACTAGAACTGAACTAGAACTGAACTAGAACTGAACTAGAACTGAACTAGAACTGAACTAGAACTGAACTAGAACTGAACTAGAACTGAACTAGAACTGAACTAGAACTGAACTAGAACTGAACTAGAACTGAACTAGAACTGAACTAGAACTGAACGGAAAACCTATCTCATTTCAATCAACGATATCTTTATTAAAAGTGGGTCTCTGTACCATCAGTTAGTATTTGCTGAGATAAATTAAGTGTTGAAAAGCAGAAAAAAACTTTTTAAAACAAATCATTATTGTATGAATGAAATTCTAATAAGACCCAATGTCATCCAGTAAAATAAATGCACTTGAAATAATTTAATTGAAAGCAACATCCCACTCACCTTCCAAAGATGTTTTACTAGTTTAAATAAAACTGAATAAAAAAAAATATTATTAATCAAGGGTTTGGGTAAAATCAATCATTTAATTACAACTAAATATAAGTACTAAAACCTTACAATTTAAGTTTTTGTTTCTTATAATTAAACTTTATAAAATCGGTATTTTTCTTGATCTAAATTGATTTGTTGTTAGTGTTATTAGGTAAATATTTATGTCTATTATTTAAAGTCTTATAAATATAAATAGTATTTTGTTATTTCAATTTGTTGTTGATTACAAAATCTCATTTAACTAAATTGTTTTGTTTACTAAAAGAGTAAACTGCTGGCATAAAGAAGGAACGTAGAAAGGATAGGGGGTACTAACAAAAGCAAGTCTAAATGAATAAATACACACTTAAATTAAGTACTTAAGTCTTAGATTTATATTCTTGTTTTCAAAACCAACGGATTCCTTTCAATTTCTTTTTGCTCTCTATCTCGGCTGCCATAAAAATTTCCTTTAAATAAACTTTGAGTTAAAAACACAACAAGAATTACGGCTAAAGGTTAGTTAGGTTAGGTTTTTCAGACTGCTTACTAACACGAGTAAGTCTATACTTGGGTCCTATTTGGTCCCTTTGTAACGTCTGTAAAGAGAAAAGTTAAGGGAAAACATTTGGAAGGGGAAGAGTAGTGATAAAGAAAGTAGTGAAGAAACAGATATAGAAAGTAGAATGATGAGTATAGAATAGCGAAGAAGTTAAGACTCTGTTACCAGAAAAATCATAGTGTGTATTTAGTTACACACCCACTTCGACAATTTCAAGAATGCTAGTATACACTCAGGTTGAATAGCTGACAGATCAGATAGATCAGAAAAGTGAGACGAACCCAGCGCCTGATGACGGAGCGATTCCAGGGCCGGGCAGTTACACAGAAAATGAGTAATAGTTTCCTCTTCTTCTTCATTTTGACAGCTCCTACAAAAGTCATTATATGGAATACCAATACGTCTAGCGTGGTTTCCAAACTTTGAATGACCTGTAAGAACTGATAACAAAGCGCTCAGATATATTCTGTTTAGCCCTAAAATGTAGGATGTTTTATGAGAATCCATACGAGGCCACAGTAGCCTAGCGATCGAGCAAGTGTGCTCCTGAGACCATCGCTCCTGGGCTGAAATGAAGCAGTAATCAAGTATTTGCTTCTTGATGACCGCTAAGGGGACACCACAGAACTGGTCAATATCCAGTATGGTCATCCTCGTGCCGGCTTTTGCCAGAATGTCAGCAGTATTATTGCCAATTGTTTCCCCGTGTCCTTTGACCCAAATAAGGGTAATTCTTGAATATCTCGCCATCTCGTTTAGAGACGCCCGGCATTCTTGGACAAGTTTTGATGTAGAATACACACCTATCAGGGATTTGATAGCGGCTTGACTGTCAGTATAAATTCTGATATCTCTGTTGGATATCCGATAGTACCTAAGCCAATTAGAAGCCCTTTTTATAGCTGAGATTTCAGCCTGCAAAATAGTACATTCGTCGTTGAGTCGGAAAGAGATTTTCGTCCCGAATTCTTCAATGAATATGCCCCCGCCGACACCTTTAGTTGTTTTTGAGCCATCTGTATATACATTAAAGCTTCCAACACTTTCAGGTGCTAATTCATTATAATCGCAGATTAAACTATACCGGAAGTTCCTCGATATGCACGGTTCCGGAATATGGTAGTCAATAGCTTGATGTAGGTTTGGTACAAGATCTACAATCTTTGCATGACCACTGGAACCGTAGTTCCATCTATTCGTAATACTTAGTCTGGCTGCAGTATTCATTGCCAGTTGTTTAGCAAGAAGATCCACAGGCAGCCAGTTCAGCATGGCAAACAACGCTTTACTGGGCGTAGTCCTAAGTACACCTGTTATGAGAAGAGCAGATTGTCTCATAACTTTGGTAAGAATGTTTCTGTTAGATATTCTGTCAAGTGCATGCCACCAGACAATTACACCATACATCATTATCGGTTTAATCACCGCCTCATATAGCCAATTCACATTTCCTGGGTTGATACCCCAATGCAGGCCAATAGCCTTTCTACAAACGTATAACGCCGTAATGGCTTTGGAAGATCTGGAGATGATATTCAAGCTCCAAGACAATTTTCTGTCGAGAATAACACCTAAGTATTTTGCGCTATCCGACAGTGTGAGAACCTCACCGTTGAGGCGTGGAAGGGAGAATTGAGGAATTTTGTATTTATTTGTGAACAATACTAGTTCCGTTTTCCCTGGGTTTACGCTGAGACCGCATTTAACACTCCATGAGCTTATTATCTTCAGCGCTTCTTCCAATCTCTGAGACAGAGTCTCAAGATGCGTACCAGTTACCGCTACTGCAACATCGTCAGCGTAGGCAACCGTCTTAAAACCTAGTGAGTCAAGTTTGACCAATAGTTCATTTATTGCCATGTTCCAAAGAATAGGGGACAACACCCCTCCTTGAGGAGTGCCCCGGATGGCTTTTTTACAGATTGTTGTATCACCCAGTGAAGATACAATAGTCCGTTCAGATAGCAAGTTCTTTACAAAACTCACAATGGATCGTTCCACACCCATCTGTGAGAGGGATTGACAGATAGGTGAGGATCTGACGTTATTAAAAGCGCCCTCAATATCGAGAAAGGCAACCAGAGTGAAGTTACCATAGCTCATGTACTTTTCAATGTACCCAACCAGGGAATGTAAAGCCGTCTCAACAGATTTACCTTTCGTGTATGCATGTTGAGAGTTTGAGAGTAGAGATTTGTCAATAGATATCCTGACATTGATATCAATTATCCTCTCCAGAGTTTTAAGCAAGAATGACGCCAGACTGATGGGTCTGAAGTCTTTTGCCTTGGTGTGAGATGTCTTTCCCCCTTTTGGGATAAAGATCACGTTACACCTGGTCCACTGTACAGGTATGTAGGACCAGTATAAACAGGCCTTGTAAATATTACTTAGCCAGGGAATGATACGATCTAAATTATTTTGTAGATCCGCTGGAATAATGCCATCAGGGCCCGGAGATTTATAGGTGTCAAAACTCCTTATTGCCCAGCGAATGATGTCATCATCTATCATAACATCTTCAGCAGTATTATCTAGTTCAATACCATGCTGATTATCTGCAATTGATTCACCAGTTGGGATACAACCAGGAAAGTGAGTATTCAAGAGAAGCTCAAGTGTCTCTTGACTACCTGCAGTCCAATTTCCGTCCGCTTTTTGTATATAGCTTGGGACGGAAGGAGATTTAGACAGGATCTTACGAAGACGACTCGTATCTGACGAATTTTCTATAGAACTACAGAATTTTCTCCAGGAGCTACGTTTCGCACTTCGTACCTGATTTTTAAATTCATTAACTTTTGACTTATAAAGAGACCAGTTACCAGATCTCTTTGCCTCGTTAAATAATTTACGACATAACCTTCGAGTTTTCGCAATTTCGGGATCCCACCAAGGGGGTTTGCCCTTAAGCATACCATTTGATAATCTACAAGCCCTTTTTGTGGCTACACTAATAGAGCTTGAGATCCAGTTAACGGCTAAATCAATGTCACTTCTACTTTCTATCGTCGGAGCAGTAGGAAGAATATCAGTCAAGGTCGCTTTATGTACCTCCCAGTTCGTCTTTCTCCTATTGAGAAATGGTTTTATAATCTTTGCCTGAACCACTATTTCAAATTCTATATAGCAGTGATCAGAGAAGGAGCATTCTTTTGAGACCTTCCAACCCTGAACTAGGTCAATATGGTTTGCATTCACAACCGTTATATCCAGTACCTCCTTTCTATTTGCAACTATGAAAGTGGGTTCTGAACCTCTATTTACTACTACTAGGTTATTATCTAATAGAAAATCTAAAAGAGACTCACCTCTTGAGTTAATGTCTGAGCTTCCCCAGACCGTGTGGTGCGCATTTGCATCTGCACTCATGAGAAGCGGAATGTGTCGCCTATCTGCCTCACACACAATTTCCCTCACCAGGCGATTTGGTGGCTGGTCGCCATGGTCGTGTGCCATATAGCTGCTTAGAAGCCAGATGTTTGAGTTACCAGACTCCCAAGCAGCCGCAACAGTATCTTCGTCGCTGTAATCAGACAGGATAAAGATGTTTAAATGGCTCTTAGCCAGAATACAGGATCTTATATTACCTGAACAGTTAGCATGAAGAAGCTTATAGCCTCTAAGAGAGAGTCCACGAACTTTACCATGGTGGGTCCACGGTTCCTGGACCAGGATTAGCTCCTCCCCTCTTTCAGCTAAACGGAGGAGGAGGGCGGCAGATGCTGCTTTAGAGTGGTGAAGGTTAATCTGCAATACCTTCACCATCTCCTAAGTCAGGATCGTAGACGACGGTTACGTCGACATCTTCCGGATCAGTATCCGAAAGGGTGTCGTCGTCCTCCGCCACTTTCAGATCGCCGAGGAGTTCTCCCAATTGACCTGTGGTCGATTGAGAGTTCTCCCCGCCTTCTGAAACAGCGGGATCGTCGATGTTATCATCGTCCTTCTTGGGCGGAACCTCTAGCTTAACCTTCGAGGCAGCGGCGTTGCGTTTGTCGTCACTGCGGTAGGTACGGAGAGTAATACTATCAAAGCCATAGTATACTTTGCTTCCGCACTCTCGCAGTGGCGACACGGACTCCTTATTAAGGACCACAATCGCCTTTCTGATCGTTCCTATCGGTTCGGAGACCTTCACCACCTTCCAATCATGGGTAGGTAGATGAGGGTTTCCGCTCTGAAGGAGCGCCAGAATCTCCGCCGGGTCATGAGGCTCAGTTGGGATGGTGGCAATGGATCTCGGTCTGCGAGGAATTTCACATACCGGGACCACGTCCAACATAGCACCTGGCCACACTTCCCCAAGGGACTCAATCGCTAGCTTGAGAAGTAACGCAGAGCGCTCATTCGAACAAGCCAGCAGTTTTATATGACCCTGGAACCAGCCAGCGTCATCATTTTGGGGGGCGGGTCCTGGATTTTCCTTAAGGATTTTCCAGTACACCCCTAGCATTCGTTGACGGATGATCCCCCATTTATCTTGAGAGATGGCCCCGTCACTATTGCTCCTGTCGATAATAGCCCTTACCAGTGGATTTTTGGCAACCTCACTGAAAGGCCTATTAACGACGACAGTTTGCGCCTTCTTTGGACGTTTAGTCGTCGGCTGGATGGTTGACAACGAAGGGGACTCTTCCTCTGATCTTTGCCGTTTAGGCGCCTCAGCAGCAGACTTCGTCACTTCTGCTTTGGCTGGAGGATTTGAGTCCTGTTGTCTAGCCAGGATACTTTTGGCCCATTCAAGAGACGATTTCTCGTCCTTGGACAATACATTGTTGGGCTTGGCGCCATGTCGCTCAACAATGCGCTCGGCGGCGCGCCGATGTGCAAAAGCCCTACGGGAAGGGGTTTTGTGCCGTTGGGAATCTGCTGGTACGCTGGAAGAGCCCGACATCGAGTTCGACGACTTTTCCAGCGTAGGGGGAGGTGCGGATGAGGAACCCGACATCGGGGTCGACGATTCCTCTCTTGCACAAGGTGGCACATGGGAGACATTTTTGTCACCCGAAGGCAGGGAAGAGGCTGACTTTTGATCAGCTAGGGCTGCTCTCGCGGCTGCAGAGGTACTTGCCACAACGGGCAGAGGTACCTCACCGCTTGGGACCTTTCCCACAACTGAAGGTTTGGTGGGAGGGATTGGTTTACAAGCAGCCAGCTTGGGCCGGCTGCTTGCGGGTTTTATTGTTGTTGTTGTTGTTGCTCCAGTAACTTGCGAATTAGACAGGCCCGGTGCTACCACCTGTCTAACTCGGATGCCAGTAACATTCGATTCACCACAGCCCGGTGTCGCCGCTGTGGGAATAGGGTCTCCGGGTATTGTCAAGCCCCGAACCGGATACGAGGGGCATTTTTCTTCTTCAGACATCATTTGGGGGGGGGGGGGAGATTTGCATTTTTCACCTACTGCCAGGACACAAAAACTGCCGTCCCTCTGGGATCAGACAGACCATCAAGCCGCCCAATATGGAACAGACGCTTGATGGGTTTCGGACTGCACATTTAAGTGCATGAATCCTTTAAGGATTCAATCGGACTGCTCTATCGATTGCCCTATCTCAGTGATAGGAAAAACAATCGATAGAGCGGGTACTGACAGACCGCCCAATATGGGAAACAGACATCTGTCAGTTGGGAGGGGTAGTTCTTAGTTTCGTGCTCGTCCTATGGCCCGTCTGACAAGGGTGACCCCTTGGAGCCAGCCAGCTTGGGCAGAGCTGACTCCGTCAGCATGGCCCATAGGATTCATTGCACTTAAGCCTTCACATCGCGACAAGATGACTACCCTTCGTGAAGGGTAGTCATCTTGTCTAAAGCAACTACAACAATTTGAAGCAAAAAATAACACCAAGCAGCCAACCACACACACACACATCTTATTTAATAACAATTTACAAATACTCACATAATCTTGTGTTATTTGATTATAAAATACTCAACATACCCTAGCAAGAATGCTCATACTAATACATTTACACTTATAAAGCCCACCCTCTCACTTTTATAGAAATACACACACACACAAACTAACACTTTTTTCAAAAAAAAAAACATTTTTCTTTTAGCAACAAAACACTTACTTAACTAAAAATCAAATTTAGAACAAAATTTTTGAAAAACTTAATCAGCAGATTACTTTACATATATATGTTGAAGTGCACGTATCTGTTGTGTGTGTATGTATTCATATCCAAGGATGAAGGATGTAACAAATGGAATGGTTTAAAATGAAATGAAATGGCATACATTTTTCCATAGACTTGGTTAGAAAGTAAACAGCCAGCCACAACAACACAAAACAACTATATTCGAAAATAGTATTAGAGAGTATGAAGAAAATGCACCATGGGTTGTTATGAATGAAAATATTGTTAAATTTTTTACATTTACTTTAATTTTGCCTAAAATATCATTACGATTACTGGACGTATATTTTATATTTTTACTCTGAATAATACTCATACGCTATGGTGTACTTTAAAGGAAGAAGCTTCGTTTTGGTACATAATATGAACAAGA